GCTATTACTCCATGTTATTAAAAAAAAAAAAAAAAAAAAAAAAAAAACAGTAGTTAACTGATTACATACTTGTGTTCCCGACTAAACCACATACCAAATCCTGAATAATAAATGAAAATAAAACACGTATGACAAACACAATAACACAAAATATACTCCTACTTAAGATATCGTTCAATCTAGAAAAGAAAATGTATTTTGAAATCAACCTTACCAGATTGTTTCACAATTTCCTTTTATAGTTTCGTAGGTAATCATCCAACCTCGAAACAGATTCTTTAAACATAACTTAAAAGTAACATATGTTTGCCTAAGCAAATACCAAGGTCTTAACCCTCATCCTCCCTACATGTGGAATGTAAATTGTCTAACTTGGCTTTATAAAGCGAATTAGAACATCACAATATAATACCAATGCTCTCCTATATGTGATCTAAAATCATGTATTTTATTCTGATAAGAACTCCATCCGATCTCCAAACTCCCGAATAGTACTTTTTATATACCTCTTTTAGATCTTTTAGAGATGATAAGAAAGATTAACTATTTGTAGATTAATCAACTCCAATTCTACTACTATTATTCGCTATACTACTTGCAAATAAGATCATCCTTGATCGATCATTCATCTTCCAGATGTAGTACCCTCTTTCTTGGATATGCTGAAATCTCCTCCATTAAGATCCTCTTCGGACTTTTACTCCTCGCTTGTCTCCTTTTGAGAACAACTGAAGTTGTGTTGGACCCGATATGCAGTGACCTATCATGTACACCTAAATCCTTACTTGGCTTATACTTTTAAAGTAACGCCAACCAGAAATAAACCTTCGATTCCTACTTCTGCCTTCTGGCAACAAAATCAATAACGTACTCATTTACTTCTTTGGGTCTTTATTGTTTTTGCCTTGGACTCCATCCTCTTCCTAGCGCCAACCATTCTGTGACTACAAAATATAATTGACATCAGCTCCTCCTAACGAACAGTAAATAGAGTACAACGAATCCTAATATGGGCTCTAAGTTTTAAGAGACGCAACGCGGAAGTCATATAACGAAAGACACTCCTAAGGACACTTAAATCTGTAGTGCTCTGATACCAACTGTGATACCCCGGATTTTCCGGATGTGGGTTGGCCATGCCCACGCCCGAATACCCGAGGATATCAAAACCAAATCGGTAATAATTGAACACAAAATACAAATATGATAAATAAGAATAGATAAATTGCTAAAAGAAACTAAAATGATAATCCATTAATAAAATCCTCAAAATAAATTTTCATAAATAATAAAATATTCTGATACATCCAATCCTTTAACAGTTATACAACTCGGGAATTCATACTATGTGGACCCCTACAAAATCTCAACTGAACAAGTGACAACAATAACTGTCTACATCAGAACATTGAAACATAAAGGAAACACCTATGTAGATAATCTGGAAGAGTGAAGTAGAATGATCTCTGCTGAACACGAACAACATCTACTCCTGACGAACATCTGAAAAATAATGGTGGGTCAGGCCCACAAACAAGTTCTACTCTACTACAATCCAAGTAGAGACCCGATACACGTATACATCCTACACAATTCAACAATAGCTAGTAGTCCGTATACATATATAGATACACACTATAGGACGCTTACTGAACTATAGGTCTGTCTCAACCTGAATAGAAGGTAATGTGCAAATCACACATAAAGTGGGCATGAGTACCTTGACCTACCAGGGCACCCAGATATCTATTATATGCAATTATCCATCCTAGGCAATATACGCACCCTAACCATGATCCTGAGACTCAAACTCATATCATGGCATCATATATATATATATGATCCATCCTAATCCAGAACATAAAACAAACATCCGGTATGTCATCCAACTGATTCAGTTGACATAACATGAATATATGTAGGATTTAACATTTTAGTTAATCCATTCCGTTGTATGAATAGGTAGGACTTAACGTTTTAGTTAATCCATCTCTAATATGCCATTGTCCCATACCGGTGCATATAATCCACAAATCCATAAATGATGCAACATCCAAAGTAATACATCAGATAAATCCATAGTTGATGCAATAATCTAAATACATCAAATATCCAGAAATAAGCATAATAAGATCAGATCAAATACTTGACTACATTATTCTGCCAACGCATGATTAAAATCATATAACATCCGTATTAATTGCCAAGTTATTTTTAAGCAATTAATGCCTCCCTTCCATCCAATAATTGATGAATAAATAAACTAATACATCAATTAAATCCAGAACTCAGCATACTCAACATTAGATAAATACATGACTAAATTATATTGATAAACCATAATTTTAAATCACTTATCATCCATTTAAATTGCTAGATTAATAATATGCAATTTCATCATTTGTTAACAATATATAGATTTATTTAAAACATTATATTATTTATATCCCTGACAAATTAACATAAATTTATACATTCGGGAAAATAATTATGCCAATTTATATCATTACAACCATCCATTACAGCCTAGGTATGTTTTAAACCCCTCTGTAATCCAAAAACTAAGCCTGAACACGCCCTAACCAACAGTCCAGCAAAGGAGCCGCCTCCTTTATGCATGGAGCCGGCTCTTTCCTAAAGGAACCGCCTCCATTTACACTAGAGTCGGTTCCTTCCTAAAGGAGTCGCCTCTTTTCAAGAGGGAGCCGGCTCTCTCCCTATTCTACACTGTCTTCTCCATCTTCGGCGACTGTGGAACATTCCATTCTCTTCTGTTATGGTCTCTAAAGCCTTGAACTAAGTTCTAAACAATCCTAAATAATTATATGTAAGTAATATGCATCATTTACATGAATCAAAACAGGTTGACAAGCAAGAAATTCAAGATTTACTTAAGAACACCATCAACAACAAAAACCAGTTTTAATTCAATTCAAGCATGCATATTTAGTCAAATTAGTTTCTGATAAATCCTGAAATTAACTTAGGCATGTATAGAAACAAGAAATCTAAGGGAGAGAGTTAGAAGAAGAACTTACCTTTAGGTTTTAGATTGAAACCTTAACCTTTTCTTCTTAGCTTTTCCGGCGATCCTTGGCCGCCGTCGAAACCTCCTACTGCTCTGGTTCTAACCCCCGAACCAACCTCTCTTCCTCCTCCTCCTTGGTTCAGCCCTCTTGGCCGAACCCTAGCTTTCTTTCTCTCAGTTTATCTCTTTTCCTCTCTCTGTTTTCTTTCTATCTCTCTATGTAATATATATTTCACGTAATATATCCAGCCTCCTACAGACCTAATACTAACATATATATAGGCTACTTACAAAACCCGAATCCTATATATACTATTGGTCTAATAATAAGAAAAAGAAAAATTACAAGAAAAAAAAAAATAAAACATAATACATATATATATGAAGTCTGTACGTAATTTTATATATATATAAATTTAACTTATAACTATATATATATATATATATATAAACTTACTATACTTATTAATATAATTATTTAATATATTAATAAATATAATATCCGTAAATGTACATATATACTCGTATATATATATGTACCAACAACCATGGGTAAATATCTGTACACATTAATCTCCTATACAAGTAGTCCATGCGACCTAATTGATTAATCCATTACTACTATCCATATCCATCATTTTTAAATAAATATAAAAATAAAATAATTAATTATTTAAAATTAACAAATAATTTACAAAAAATTTCAAATAATTAACTATCAATCAATTAAAATACACAATTAAATCACATATTTCAAATAAACAAGTATCAATCAATTGAAATACACAATTAAATCACATATTTCAATCAAATAAACTCGCAGCCACATATAATTAATTAAAAATGCACATAAAATAAATAATTAAATTTTAGTTATATCGTTTTGAAAATTAAGAGGGTTACAAACACCATGCTAGAATGAAGAGCGGAGTATCAGTCAAAGTAATGAATGACTATCTCCGCACGCGCGAGGGATCTTGGAAAGGCCCGACACGTAGCCAAAAGCCCAACGCAGGCCAGACCAACACTTCTACAAGTACGATGACCGCCGACCAACCTCATGGCCTTAGCGGACTCATACGCCTTCCACCCTTACTACCCGAACGTAACTAACCACAAGGCGCGATTAGTACCCGACGCCAACGCTGGGGAAGCATTTCAAACCACAAGAAACCCATTGGGCACACGCAGGCGAAGCCGTCCGCGACTTAGGTCGAACCTGATGTTTTCGAGCATCGCACCTCGAGTCCGGGTGGAACACATGGACTCTGGCACTCCCGCACAACAATAACCACCACCCCCGTGGCCGCCGCTCTCCGGAATGGAGCAAACAATATCCAACCACCACCAATTCAAGAAATCACCCTGATCTCTTCGATGAAATATCACCTCCATCTCCGACAAGAAAGAAATTCATCCGATTTCCATTTCCAACAGAAATGAAAAAGAAAAAAATATAAAACATAATTTCAGGATGAAATAAAAAATTACAACTTATAAGGTTTTATCAGACTCAATCTGCCTATTTGTTGAACTGATCTAAGGTTTTATCAGACTCAATCTGCATATTTGTTGAACTGATAGCCAAAGGGACTGATCTGTGTCGCAAGAGGTGGGTTGCCGACGAGATGAGACGGTGGAGCTGAAGAAGAAGATGTGTAATATGCTTCTACTTCTAGGTTTATCATTATTAACTCTGTACTTTACAAACCAACGGTTGAGATGTAATATTAAATTCTAAGGGCTGAGATTAAAACTTATTTGTATAATGGGCTAATGAATTAGAACTGTTTAAGGTTTTATTAGTAACATTATGTGAGTTGGGCCAAATTTCATATGGGCTAAACCTTTTAAAATTTACAGTTATAGTATAATGGACCATTAACTTACCTAGCTTGTTCGTGAGTTAAGTTTAATGTTGCTCAAGTTCGATTAATTTACTAAGCAAATTTAAAATTTGAGTTTCGAGTTCGGCTCGTTTATTCAGTGGGCGAACACAAGTCTTGAGTTTTTAACGAGCGACTTTGCAGCCCTACTCATTGCGGTTAGGTTCACAGGAGGATCCGATTTATATACAAACCCTACACCGGCAATCAATCACGGAGTGAACAATCCAGTGCATTGAACAGAGAAACTATATACCGCATGGTCCGCATCCATTTCACACCTGCCCGACAAAATTTCTAAATCAGCAAGATCTTCTAAAGCTTTAAAAAAACATTTTTCTTTAAAAGAAAAAGATTTCTTTCCCATTCACTGGCTGTCCAAACCCTTAACACAATTTTCTCATTCTTCAAACAGAATTCAGATCTCATCCAAACTCACAACACACTTTTATATTCAAAATTCTCAAACCCCATTCATATCACATGTATACACCAAAACCCAGTTCAAGATTCATCTGTCTCACCCTCACCCTTTTCCTATTTCTGAGTCTTTTTATCACTGGCTTCGCTTCTGAATCGGAACCCACCACAGTTGATGTCAATGGCGATGATTCGGATGACATTGAAGAACTCATAGCATTGGATGAAGAAGAAGAGTTGCAAGGAAAAGTAGGAGAAGGGGCTGATCATGTGAAACCATCTGAAGCTGAGGTTCTGAGCAAGGCCCAAAGGATAGTTATTGAGCTCAACAGTGATAATAAGAAGAGGGTCATTGATGAGAATGGGTTTGTTCTTGTTCTGGGTTATGCACCCTGGTGTCCCAGGAGTGCTGAATTGATGCCTCAGTTTGCTGAGGCTGCGACGTCTCTGAAGGAATTAGGGAGTCCCCTTGTGATGGCCAAGCTGGACGCCGAGCGGTATCCGAAGGCGGCATCGAACCTCGGGGTCAAAGGGTTTCCCACTCTGCTCCTGTTCATCAATGGCAGCTCTCAACCTTACAATGGTGGATTTACCTCGTAAGCTCTTCTTTGTTTGTCAAATTATGTTTATATGTGTGAACATGTGTATATGTATAATTGTAATTGTTATTTTATCTGTTTATACACAGTGAATTTCGTGAAACTCAACACCTATGTAAATATATTTTCATTGACCTGAATATTTGTGCGTACAGCTTGAATGTTTTATTTAATAGATATTTTGTGGTGAATTGTCAATTAGGCAAGATATTGTGATCTGGGCAAGGAAGAAGACTGGCGTGCCTGTTATCAGAATTAACTCAGTAAATGAGGCAAAAGAGTTTCTTGAAAAGCATTCTACTTTTGTTGTTGGGCTGTTCAAGAAGTTTGAGGTATGGAATTTGGGTTAGTGGTGGTGGTGGTTTTTTTTTTTTTTTTGTTTTTTTTTTTTGCCTGAAAAGTGTTAGTATATCACATAAATAGATACTGTAAACCTGAAGGATTGAGTCTTTAAATTTAATGCTTTACGTATGCTATTCTTGAAGCAAAAATTAATCTAAAATGAAGTCTTAAAGACTACTGATGAGACTAGAAAATGAGTCGTTTCATATATGCAGGGAATTATGCTTTATAAACAATCTGAAATGTAATAATTGGATTCTGTAGAGCTTCCCAGTATTGGCTAGGCAATATGTTGTGAAAGCAATGGACTCCCTTGTGGCCACCTCAGTGACTTGTTTGGCTGCATGGTCCATTGAACAGTATGATCGGATATGTGGAACAATTGAATGGTGCAAGCCACATCCTGATAGTTTTTTCTGGACTGATTTTTGCCCACCAATTATTAACATCATTGGTTAATTTTAGAACATATGATTTGTATACTTGTCAAGCAATTTAGCAATTAGACCTTCAAGTGTAATAGAATGTACTGATTCATGTTATTGTTCTAAATTAAATATCTTATGTTGAATTTTTATTATTTGGGGGTCATGACAATCCTTTTCATCAATTACTGTGCCTAGGTGGTGCATTGTAATGAAGTCACTAAATCATGTGTTGTGGCATCTTATAAATATAGCATTAAGTTTAAGTTTTACAATTTACGTTCATGTGAAAAACTTAAATTCTTCTCGGCAGTGGAATTTACTAACCTAGTTTATTTATCAAAAAAAAAAAAAAAAAAAAAAAAAAAGTGATAAACTTTAGTTCTGTTTTTCCAAGTGAGTCGAGTAGTTGTGATTTGTGACACAACTTAAGAATTTTGTAATTTGAAAATTTAAGACTCATTGTTCTATTTACTCCATGCAGCTTAACATACAATTTAATACTTGACAATTTGAAGTTTCATGGAGGTTAAAAAAGAACTGTGTTTTTGCTGTCTCGATCTCGCCCCCATCTAGAAAGGTCAGAGTTGTTCATCGCTTAAGTTTCTAGGCATTTTGTAGAACTTTATGAGTCAGATTTTTTGTCCAAGAATCAGTTAACCATCTGTGGACACAAAAATAGCAAACAGAAGAATGAATTTCAAATATAGCCAGGATTAAGTAGAGATTAATTAGTCATGTAAGTTTCACTGCATAAGATATAAGAATTACCATGGGTATGAATAATTCCATAATATCCCACTAAATGCAATAAATTTACGAGATGAAACTGAAAATGACTTTTATAAGCAATGAAAGTTAACAGGTTCAGACACTACTATTTATGGGGCTAGAAATCTAAACCAAATCAAACCATAACAGGGGCATTGGGGCAGAATTGTGACCACATTCGAAATTCCGAAAATTAAACATCTATGGTTAAAAGTTATCAAAGCTTAGATAATAATAAGGGTGAATTACTACGACATTTCTGAGGTTTGCCTAAATTACCTATAGATTAAACTAGTGAAAGAAGTTAGTTGACCGTTAGCCATGTTCAAGCCCATTAAAAAGCAAATTGAAATACCAGAGGTGTCCTTATGTGCTGCAAAATGACACAATTGACCTTATTAATCATAAGAAATGACAACTTAAATCATGATGTTTTTGACAAATTATGTTTTAATCACTTCGATTCCAAATATTAACAACTAAATAATTAATGTTTTTAATTTAAAACTAGATGCATTAATTTAAAATTCAATATGTATATTTTCAAATAATATAAATATATAATAACTTCATATATATTCAGTTTATTAATATATAGTATATAATTAAAACTAGTCACAAATTCATAAAATTAATAAAATAATTACACATTATAACTAATTGTGGTTTATGCAATACTGGGGTTTGAAATTCTGATTGTGGTTTATGCAATATTGTGGTGGAGATAGAGGAGCAGTTCTGTAGAGCAACGGCGGTTGAGAGATAGAAAGAGAGAGAGAGAGAGAGAGGGAGCAGTGGTGGTTGATAGAGGTGGGTGGTGGTGGAGTCGCAGAAAATTAGGAAATAAATGCTAGGTGTAGTTTGGTGCTTTTGAAATTTGAATCCTACAACAGCTGGATGTGTTAAATTAATAAAATTTATTTCGGGGTATTTTGGTAAATTTACTGCTACAGTTAACTATTTCAACGGGTATTAACTTTGACAGGGGTGTCAAAGTTATTTTTGAAAATTTTTAATCCATAAGTAATTTAGGCAAACCTCAGGGGTTGTTGGAGTGATTCACCCTAATAATGATTATAATAATTGAAAAAAGGAGGACATGAGATGCAGAGAATGATGAGATTAGTTACATCTTGTCAGCAACGTAGTGCGGACCTCCATGAGTAAGGAGCAAGCTGTGTAGTGAAATCATGCAATTACCAATGACCCTAGATAAAGAGAGAATAGGGACTAATATGTGATAAGAAGAAATGAGAATGAATACTTGGTGTTAACTTTTTCTTTTTTCCTCTCCCTTTTCTTTTCCCCCGGGTAAAGAATCGGTATTAATACTAAAGCAAATCCTTTCTTGCCATAATTCTATATTTAGGGCCATATCCTTCTTCAAATCATAGGCCATCACAGTGTTATCAAAGGCCCAAGACGCACTAAGGCGCTAGAGGTCCTTTGGAGCCTGGGTGCGCGCCTAAGTGAAGCGAGGCACACAAGTGAAAAATTAATTACTATTAAAGAATATTCACATTCCATATTAAAGGCGCGAATGTTGTCAAAGGTGCACCTGGGCACACAACAGACACAATTGTTGGGCTTGTAGGAGCCTGGAGCGTAGGCGCGCCTTTAACAACACTGGGCCATCATATCTCCTCTCACTACCCTACTCTCATTCCTTTTTGCCTCTGTTTTTTTTTACCTTGGGTAACAGGAGCGTTTGAAATAGAAATATAATATCATTTTGTATTATACTATAATCTATCCACGATATACTCAACGAAGTTGAAATGCTATAGAAGTGATTGAGTTCCATATAGAACATGAAATTATACAGTAAAGTTGTTTGTCATGCCTAAGTGCATATAGGTTCCTCATAGAATCATAATCTAGAATTTTAATATAGCTTCATTACAAAAAATTTATATATTATTCTATCTAAACACTTGTATTTGGAGGGTTAAATGTGAGATAAAGATTTGTTTTCGGTGTTATCTAGGAGTAGGTTCATTCTAAACATTTTATCAATTGCTTAAAGTATTGTAGAAACTGTACAAGTCAGTCTTCAGAAAGACATTGACATGCCTAAACTTACAGTGGCTAACCTTACTCATTCAAGAACAATCCTAGCCAAAGCTTTCCCTTTTTCGCATATGTGCTTTTTATTTATTTTCTGGGAGGGTGGTGGGGTGGACAACTGTTCTCCAAGCTTTCTGATGCAAAGTGGTTGAATTGATCGTTCTTTTTTGGTGATAGAACATGACTGCCTAATGCCTATCCAGCACCCTGCTTTGATAATAATTGCCTTCTGATGGCTTGTGTTTTTCATTTTCTGCAGCTGGAGCATGCATAGAAATTTTGACACCATTATGTTTTTTTTTTTTTTTTTTGAAGGAAACATTTATATCACCTTCATTTCTTTCTTAACAATATCCGTGGTAGAAATTACTTGGCCAATATGTGCACATCACACCTTCAAATTAACAATTTGAGTTGGAAGAATTAATTTTCTGTTGATTTTTTCGGGGGGCTTCAGGCTTTGTCTTCCACCTATGTCCTTCCTTTTTGATTTGTTATAGTCATTGTTTGTCTTCCTAATGTTTCAGACTGATTAATATCATCATTGCTCATAGCAAATTAAAAATGATTTGCGTGCCAGATGCCTATTTTCTTATGTGCTATTTGATTTATTTACATGTATCAGGGATCTGATTATGAAGAATTTGTAAAAGCGGCAACATCTGACAATGAAATCCAATTTGTTGAAACAAGCACCGTTGATGTTGCTAAATTTCTCTTCCCAGATATCAAGCCTCAAATTATTTTCCTTGGTCTGGTTAAAAGTGAGCCTGAAAGATACACTACATTTGGTGAGTTGATGAGTCATACCAGATCCATTAATGCATATTGATTTTGCTAACATGACCATTCAATCACTGGATATGTACTTTATCTCACCTTCTCAATTCTCAAGAGATGGGAAGTTGTTCCCACGGTCAACTTGTTGAATATTTTACTGCTATCAGTTTCATCTTATAAAAAAGCAAATATGACACAGGAGTATATTGTTTTTAATTATGCTGATTTATATATGTTTCAGAGTTTATTGAGATGATCGTTTTGTTAACTTTTGCAGAAGGCGCCTTCAAAATGGACAAGATATTGCAGTTTCTGGACCATAACAAGTTTCCATTAGTCACTATAGTGACTGAACTTAATTCTGTCAGGGCTTATTCCAGCCCAATCAAACGCCAGGTTTATGTTACTTCTAAGTTATTTCAATTTTCTGGCTCCGTATTTTTTTTTCCTCCTGAAATGATCGGATACCTTATTGATGATCAATAGTCTGAGTCTGAGGAAAACTTAATAGTTTTTATGTTTTCTTGGGCTTCTGTTTTCCAATTTGTAATTGAAGTACACCGTGTGCCCCCTTACGCTTCACCCCCTCTCTAGCGCCGGGATATATTTCCTTCTGTCATTACAAATTGGTAGGTATAGATGATACCTTAATAAATCTGGTTTGTGATATTAAACCTCAACTATTTAGGGTCGGCTAGAGGGATTTTATGGGTTTGTTTTCATCGATGAACATATTCTTTGTTAAATCACAAACATTCGTTTGTTTGGTCAGTACTTGAGCCAACATTATTCCCTATATTTTTTGGTTGCTCATCTTTGTAGCACCTTCAACCTAGAAAGCGTCATATATAGAGAGGCTTTGCCAATATAAATTCTGTTCCCATTTTCAATCTATCAAAATGTCATACTGTGCGTAGACATATTGACCTTTTTCTACTGTCTACTAGGTTTATGTCTTTGCGGATGCTGATGATTTCAAGAACCACCTTGAGCCTCTTCAAGATATTGCAAGGAAGTTCAAATCGGAGGTTTTCTAACCTAATCTTGAAGCTACTGAAGTAATTTCTGTCTGTTTGCTATTGTTATATCTTTTAATATCAATTTCTGTTGCAGATAATGTTTTTATACATAGACATCAAAGAGGAAAACCTTGCAAAGCCTTTTCTGACTTTATTTGGGTTAGAAGAATCAGAGGACTCTGTTGTAAGTTTACTAAGGGAAAACTTCTTTTGCTGTAAATTTTAATTGTAAACTCATTAATTTTAGATGGCACTATTAATTGATGCAATTATTTTTCCTCTGTTTGCATGACAGGTAGCTGCTTTTGATAACAGAGGCAGCTCAAAGTATTTGTTAGAGTCAGATCTGAGACCAAGTAAAATAGAAGTAAGTAACAACCTGACTTTGGTTGACTTTTCTTTCATAATATATCTATTAGTGAAACTAAAATGTTTCTTTTTATAACTTGGCTTTTGAAGGAGTTCTGCTTGGGGCTTCTGGATGGGAGTCTGGCACCATACTATAAATCACAGCCAATACCAGATAACGTGAGTGTCCAAATTATTAATTTTCTTAAATCAGATTACTTATCCTACTTAGTCCTAGGTAGGCCTGTCCTAATTATTAATTTTCTTAAATCAGATTACTTATCCTACTTAGTCCTATTAGGTAGGCCTGTCCATTTTCCAGAAAAAACATAGTTGCCTGTAAACAAATGGCAAGACTTGGATGTGAAGGTTGATTAATTCAGTTTTTAGGATAGGATTCGAAGTCAAGTACAAAATGTCAGTTTCCTTAGGTTGGTTAGAAGGAAAGAAAAACTAGGAAGTACAGAATGTGAAGTGAAAGAAAGGAAAAAAAATAGCAGCATATATGTGCTTAGATTCTAAATTTGGTTAGAAAGTTGTAGAAGAATTTCATTTAATGGTTTGGAAAGCATGAAAGTTATAATAAAGTATTCTTGTTTACCAAATTGCCCTTCCCTATATTAAATAGAAGAATAAATCTCAACTAATTTGTCTAAATTTAATAGTTTTTGGTCTTTTCAAAAGAATAAAGTAATGTGGAAATCTAAATTTATAGTTTCTAGGACATTCAGAGAATGAAATAAAGACTGTTATGCCAATTTTTTAAAAAACTATGCATAAACTTGTTTTTATATTGGAGAGATAAAAAGAAAGGACATAATTTTAAGGTCAAACATTGTACCAAACTTTTCCAAGAAATTAAAATTTTCCTGTGTTCTTTGGAGGATTTTTTGGGCAAAGTTAGGTGGTTATGGAAAATTAATTTCCCCACAAAAATTTATTTTCTAGCTATCCAAAATCCTATTTTTATTTTTATTTTTTTAAAAAATACTGGCTAAAGTTTGCGAGGGTGATGATGTAAGTTTGGTCACCAGTTCATTGTTATTGCTGTTTTCTGTTTCAAACAACAATGCTAGTGGGTCCATATACCAGTCCCTTGTGTAATATCTTTGGTGTGCCACAAGGCTGGTAAAATAGGAAAAAGCAGGATCTACTTATATTATTTGGCACTTCTTCCACGACCTATATTATTTGGCACTTCTTCCACAGTTCCACTACCTATTTATTTGGCTTCTTCCACTACCTGTATTACTTGACACTTCTTCCACTGTTTTATACTAACTCTGATCTGGCTTTCCGCCAGGAATTTCTCTCCTCTATTTTTATTGAACGACTTTTCTATGTAGTGTCACATCACGTTGCAATATTCAATGCTTCTGAAGCCGTTTTTACCAGACTATATTCTACTTAACCTATTCATTGAGATTATTTTGAAATGTCATTGGAATTGTGAAATATGCAGAAAGAGGCGGGCATTCAGATCATTGTGGGAAAGACATTGGATAACTTGGTTCTGAGCAGTCCCAAGAACATTATCTTAGAGGTATGTATATTTTATATAATCTATGTGTTTTTTGTTCCTTGTATTGAAGGAGCATTTTTGTGAATGACGTGTGCGTGTGTAGGGGGGCTGCGTCCACAGTCCCTATCTGACAAGTGAGACTCAAATGTTTGAGATAGGGTGCTGTAGATGAAGCTATTGTGGCTGCGGGAATAGCAGCCTTATATATACAGGGGTGGAGGGAGAGGGTGCCCCCAAAACAGAATTTAACTATTTTGTTATACTCTAAAAATAAAATAGTTATTAAACTCAACTTTTTGGTTTGGTCCCAAAATTATTACCCCCCCACAAAAAAATTTCTTTTTAAAGCACTTATTTATTGGCCTAAAAAATAGTGGGTTTGAAAATAAATATATTGTATTTTTCAAAATTTAACTTGATATGGCCTTACTTTTGAAGTTCAATCTTGTGAAAAAAAAAAAATGTAAGTTCATTATTATAGTAGGCCTCACTGTAACAGGTTATTATTACATTAGTATTTAAAATAATATACACACATGTATGATATCAATTATGTGAATACAAGAGGTCTCCCTTTTTGGTTTCGGTATTTGTACAGCTCTTGGGACGCATTCCCCTTTTGAACGCTTTCTAATACAATTTTACTTATCAAAAAAAAAAAAAAAGAAAGAAATTACACTAACTTTTCCGCATGTTTAATAAAGATACATGAACCTTCTTTCTTAAATGGTGTTCATAGGAAAAAAATACATCTTAAATAATATACTAATCTCCATCTGCGAGTCTTTGCGACACTGGGAAGAAGGAAAAACTAAAGTGTGATGATACCAAGATAGCAAAAATGTCAATAACTATAACCAAAAGGGGGCCTCTGGCCCAATGATATAATTTCCCTATTCTCAAAGAGGAGGGGAGGGGTTCAAGCCCGGGTGTGGCAAACAAGTGTGTGTGAGTACTTACCTAATAAAAAAATTGTCAATAACAATAATGATATCATATATGTTAATATTTTTAGTTGTCATTTGTTACATGAAAAATTCTATGACTTGTTAAAGTATTTCTCTTTCTTCATTTCTAATAATCGTGCTTTATTAGAGATTGCAGGATTTTGTTTAGTTAAAATGGTATTTTTATTGTTATTAGGTAATAATTATGTATATCTTTCTCCAAGTGGAATCAATATAGTCGGATTTCTTTTTTTTGCTTGAGGAAAATAAAATTTTTAACAATAATTTTTCTTTACCACTTCTCTTATTAAATGTGAAACTTTATATGTGCTTTCTTTCTCATATGAATTTTCCATCTCTATTTATTTTGATTGCATTTTTCTCATTTTTTGAATTATATTTTCCTCAATAAATATACCAAGACTATTATTATAAGGAAAATTTTATTACAATCGATTTATATTTCTTCAAATTTTAATTACTTAATTTTAGCTTGCCTCCCCCAATTTAGAATTTCTGGCTCCGCCACTATATATATATTTATATATTATAATTATTGAAGGGAGTTGATGATGCTGTTGAACAAGGTACACAGCACTATTATGATTAAAATCTTAAGATGCTTTATTATTTGAGTTTATGCTTTTAAATGAGATGAATGAAAAAAGCATAATTAGTTTATGTGCCTGAAGGTGTCCATAAAAAAGTGAAGGAAGCCAATCTCTTTAGAATTGTTGAAGTCACTGTTAGTATTATTGTACTTGAAGCTTCCTATGAACAACTTATCTAATTTTACATGCAGCCCTATTATTTTCAGAATCTTGCTGGAGTTATATTGATTTTGCTTAGTTTTGTTTTATTTATTTTATTTTATTGAAAACCTTACCAATTAGGTACACACACCGTGGTGCATCAACTGTGAAGCCACAAGCAAGAAAGTGGAGAAGTTGGCAAAGCATTTCAAAGGGTTGAATGATCTAATTTTTGCGAGGATAGATGCTTCTGCAAATGAACATCCAAAACTGCAGGTCAGTTTATTCAAAAACTTCATGGAAGTTGATAGATATGAGTGTGTTGGCATACCAAGTAATTACAAGTATATAACTAATCGTTATATGAAATATACTTGTAAATGGTTGAGTGAAGTGGATAATGCTGAAGAATAAACAGGTGTTTTTACAAATGTTGGAGCAATTGCATTGTAAATTCATAACATTTGGGTTAGGGAAGGACAATTGAAGTTTTGAAACAAATGGAAATATAATCTACTTTATTGAGTGATAAATTAGATACATCTCCATATACCAAGCGTTTGCTAATGAATATTGCATCTATTAATTCCCCCGTATAGAAGTATCTACAAGTGTGATAAAAGTCTGTGTTTTGTTCGAGGGGTCATAAGAAGCTTCTTTTGTGGATGCTGGATCGTTGGGGCTTGGATGGCATGTCTACTTCTCCGAGCCTCAATTGAGACAGTCCCAAATTGTTATTTCTTTCATGAAAAATCAAAGGTTACCCAACATGGACATATTGAAGTTGAATCTAAACCTTTGCTTAAGAGGTAAGGCCTATGGAATTATATCTTTACCTCACGTCCAACCCAACCTGAAAAAAAGAAGGAATTTTTACATAATCCTCTATAATATTTTCCCATGTCTCACTTTTTCGTGGTACCGTGCTCCCATGTTATCCGTTCTTAAATAGGCCTCCAAAGTTATACTCCCTTGTGCCAAATTATTCCTGAGCCCATTTCTCTTATTTACAGAATGATAATTAAACCTACTAAATCTCATCTAATTTCCTATTTAAAATAAAAAAGAAAGAAAGAAACAAACAAAAAATCGTATTAATCTATAATGATCTTATAGTTTATCAATATTTGATTGGCAATTCTTTTGACCATTTTATAATTATTTTCACATAAAAAATTTAAGGAAATATATGAATTTACTTCAAAAACTAATAAAGATTTGAAAGACAATTTTGAGCTAATATTAGTCATTGTATGGTCCTTTTCATTTTTAATTTTAGATTAAGGGCTGCAGGTGGTATTCAAGACTCAAATCTACTATTGTAATGTTGATTCTACTGGCAATGTTAGTTTGGACATCCTGAAAGACGGTTGGAGTCCGGTTTTAACAATCTCAAAGCTGGGGAGCTAGGGGAGAGCGGGGGAAGGCGAGAGGTGATTTGTTGTTGGGTGTTATAATACTTTTGTTGGTGGGTGCCAGATTCTTGATTCGGTCTTGATTGCTAGTGAGTGCATTGAGGCTAGGGTCAGAAGTGGTGTTCTGGGGATTGTGTGCAAATTGGATATTGAAAAGGCCTATGACCATGCTTGCTGGAACTTCTTGATGTATATGATGGAGAGGATAGGTTTTGGTCATAGATGGAAGACGTGGATTTATCACTGCATTTTGTCTGCATGGTTCTCTGTCCTAATGAATGGCTCTCCAGTAGGATTCTTTGATAGGATGGTTTTTGGTCCCAGATGGGGGACATGGATTTATCACAGCATTTTGTCTGCACAGTTCTCTATTTTAATCTAGGAAGCACCGACACGGCTGAGGAGTCAACTGTACCCGTGTCGGACATGTGTCCAACATGGACACACGTGTTTGAGGCACGGACACGTCAGGATATCAGTGGGATATGCCGGAGGACACGCCCGCACATCGCTAGATAAGCTAGAGGACACGTTGGAGAATTTTTCTTTGTTAAATATAGAGGAAGAGGATGAAGGAGCTAGACAACTGAAGGAGCCAGTGTGTAGATGATGGGTTATGTGGGAACGCATATTGTGGAAAGATCTAGGCTGAATTGTTAGGAAATTAGTTGCGGAGGATTTTTAGGAATTATCCATAGTTAGATAGTTGACTTTTTTAAATTTTACAAAAGTAGTTCCTATATTATAGGAATTATGATCTGTATATATCTTTTCTTTAGATAGAATTTGTAATACACTTCTATATACTAAGACCTGTAAACTAACAAATGTGATATGTGAAAAGAGAATATCAGAATTTATTCTTTTTCACCTTTGTGTTCATATATGCATATATCCATTCAAGAGAAATAAAGATGTGAAAAAGATAAGAGGGGATGAGACAAAATAGATGGAGGGATGAGAGGATTGGCTGGAAGAGACGATTAGAGAGCCGTATATAAAAACTTGAAAGTGAGTGGAAGAAAGAGGGATTTAAGATTAATCTTATCTTTTTTCTGGGCTTGTTTAGCCACAACTATAGTGTTTTGTTTGGATACCATATATCTTTTTTCACAACTTGTTTGGATATATATATATTTGTATTTTCATGAAATTTGGGAATTGGTCCTTTATGTTTTAAAAAATAAATATGGCCATGTGTGGGCCTAATTTAAATGCACTATGTTTATTAATATAAATTAAAATTTGAGCAAAAGTTAATTTTTTTTATATGTAATAAAAAAATTATATTACTATTTATTGCCGTGTCCGTGTCCTACTTTTTTGAAATTTGCCGTCTTGTCCGTGTCGTGTCGTACCCGTGTCCCGTGTCTGCGTCCGTGCTTCATAGGTTTTAATGAATGGATCCCCAGTAGGATTCTTTGATAGCTCGCGAGGGTTATGATAAGGGGACTGCTCTTCCTTTCTTGTTCATCATTGTCATGGAGGCTTTTGATTCTAGGATATGGTGGAAGAGCTAGGTTTGATTCAAGGAATCTCAGTGGGTAAAAATCTCAATTAGTTAGACATCTCTCATTTTCTTTTTGCGGATGGCACTATTATTTTTTGTGATTTTAGAGTTGACCCGAGACACTTGAGATGCATTTTAGTCTGTTTACTAGTTGTTTTTGGGTTGAAGATCAATATTGGGAAAATGAAATCGTCCTTGTTGGGGGGAGGAAATCCATGTCATAGCAGAGTTGTTGAACTTTCCGATTTCCTATGTGGGACTCCCCTCTCATCTAAGGAGGATTTTAGTTTTGGATCCGGTTGTCGAGTGGTTTGAGAGTAGGCTTTCTAGTTGGAAGAAACAATACTTGTCGAAGGGTGTTGGGTTACTCTTATGAAAAGCACTCTTTCGAATCTTCCTACCTACTTTTTGTTGCTTTTCCCGATGCATGCTACGGTTGTTCGAAGACTTGATGAGATTTAGAGTAAGTTTTTGTGGGGAGGTTTGGGAGATGAATTCATACCACTTAGTTAACTGGGAGAGTGCGTGTACCCCTATTAAAAATGGAGGTTTGGGGATCTGAAGGTTGGGCTTGTTTAATAAGGCTTTGTTGGGCAAATGACTTTGGAGATTTGGGGGTGAGAGGACCAGGCTTTGGAGGCATGTTATTTCTTGTCACTACGGGGAGGGAGATGGAGGGTTGCAAATTAGGGAGGCGAGAAACCTAATAGTACTTGGAAACTTATCCAGAGGGGTTGGGATGAGTTCTCCAAATGCATTTGATTTAAATTTCAAAGTGGAAGGCATGTCAGATTTTGGGAGGACAGATGGTGTGGGAAGTTTGTTTTGGCTCGTAGGTTTCCTCATCTCTTCAGGATTTCTGTGAACAAATGTGCTGCGGTTGCTGACTATTATCGGCTCGATAATGGGAGGGTGACTTGGGATGTGCAGTTTCGTAAAGAGTTCCATGATTGGGAACTTTTGGAGGTTACAGATTTCCTAGCATTGATTTATTGCCAGGTGGTGGAGGGTGTGGGTATGAACAAGATGGTGTGGGTGGGCACCTCGAGAGGGGTGTTTGAGGTTAGGTCTTTTTATCAGAGTTTGATGGAACTCCCTGGCCCCACCTTTCCTTGGAAAGCTATTTGGAGGATGAAAGCTCCCTTGAACATGGCTTTCTTCTCTTGGACGCCCTGGGAAGTATCCTTGTTGTTAACAACTTTAGAAGGAGATTTCAGATTGTGGGGAACTGGTGTTGTACGTGTAAGAAGTCGGGTGAATCTGTGAACCATCTTTTGCTTCATTGCCCTTTGTCGAGAGACATTTGGTCTATGTTTTTGGTTGCTTTTGGTCTAGCCTGGTTTTTTCCAGAATCCACAGTGGACGTGCTAGAGGCTTGGAAAAGGTGTATAGTGGAGAGTCGAGTCAGAGATGCTTGTGTTGACTTTATGAGATAATCAAAACAAGAGTAAAGTAGAAGATGAAGAAGAAGAGAAGAAATAGGAGAGAAAAAGAGAGAGAGAGATGGGGAAAGAGATAAAGAATGAAAGAATACTTTCATCCTTCCACCACATTCTATTTATACTAACAAGTTTCATAAATTACACATAAGCAACCAACATTATATAAGTAATAACAAATAAGCCCATGACAACTCTCCCCCTTAAGATGGTGCAAAGATATTTATCATCCCAACTTGACTAACATATTTTGTAACCTGATCATGTGTGTTGACGTATGGAGTACAAATCAACCCAAAACGAGGCTTTTCCTTGATGAAGTGTCGATCGACTTCAATGTGCTTTGTCTGTCATGTTGAACTCGATTGTGGGCAATGCTAATAGCAGCCTTCTTGTCACAATACAACTTCATTGATTCGTGAACAGGATAACTCAACTCATCCAACATAGTTCGTAGCCATAACAACTCACAAACTCTATGTGCCGCACTAGATCTAGCTACTACAGAGTGTTTCTTGCTTCGCCATGAAACAAGATTACCTCCAACAAATATGCAATATCCTGAAGTAGATCGTCGATCTGTCACAGACCCTGCGCAATCGGCATCAGTATAGGCTTCAACACGCAAGCAGCCATGACGGCTAAACAATATCCCCTTACTAAGTAAACCCTTGAGGTAGCGAAGAACGTAATGAGCTGCCTCAAGATGAGGTGTACATGGAGGATGGATGCATAAACTGACTAATCACACAAACAATATAGGTAATATCCGAGTGCGCGAGAGATTGGTATAACAATCTCCCAACCAATCGCTAAAATCTTCCCACATCAACTAATGGGTCTCCATCCACATCATTAAGCCTATGGTTCTGCTCAATGGGAATATCACTAGGTTTAGCTCCAAGCCTACTG